CTATTTAATGTTTTTTTCCACGCGCACCAAATAGCAAAATGAACGTAGCCAAGGCACATATACCAGCCACCTCGACGAGAGATGACACATGGTTTATATTAGAATGCTCCCCAGTGGTTCAGCAGCAAGTCTGGGGGATTACGACGCTAAGAACTGGGTTTTCATACCCACAGCGGGTATAGAACACTTATAGCCAGCCCCTTGTGTAGCTTTGTGCTTAGCAGCAAACAAAAAACGTATAACAGAATTATTACAAAAAAGACCCCCCCCCCCCCCAATATCTTTCTGGTATTATAGCAAGTGGTTACACAGCATGACAATCGACATTCTTGGTACACGTGACAGTGGAGGTTGGTAATTACTTATGTACATATGCAGTTTTTTGTATGAATTACACGGAAGTTAGTTTATAAATCGAGAGATAGTGTTTAGTTTGAACAGTCTTTGCATGAAGTTTTATTTAGTTTTTCTTATGTTATAGTATCCCTTGCTAGGCGTTAACTTTGGAGCCTATGGTGCTTAAATTCGGGGTTCTATCTCCGCAACGAACACGTGGCAGATAGTTGCTTATTCTATTGCTTGCCCTCAGTGGCATAGCGGTATGTCTGCGTACTTACAACGATAGAAACCGGGTTTCGATAGCCCTGATGGGCAGAGCACAGATTGTCCATTGTTTAGCTTTGTGCTTAACTTTAAACAAACAAATTCTATTGCTTTGCGCTACGGCTAAACCTTATATAATGTTTTATTTACCAGTTTTAAGCCTGGACTTTGATTTAAAGTGTTCTGTTAAATTATCACTGTGTGAAAGATAAACTTTATTCAAAAACAAAAGAGCGACCATTTTTTTGCTGCAAAAAATGGTTGATTACAACGTCAAAAAACAAAACAAAAAACAACAACATGCAATCAATTTGGCTAAAACGCAGGAGCGGAACAACGATCTCACTGAGGTTATGGCCGGACGGTGGCGCGCTAGTCATTCCCTTGGCAACACGATCTGCACGAGACAGTGTTATTCGTGTTTAACGTGGGATACCAAGTTTCGTAGTGTAGTTTTGTATAGCTCTAGCTGGTGTAAAACTTGAAGAAGAAGAAAAGTGGACGGAAATATAAACCTATAGCTGTACTCGGCATGGTAGGCTCGCTGGCATTACGCTTGTTATTAGTTAATACCTAAACGTTTCTGTTTGTACAAGATACGTAGGAGTATTAGAGACTGCCCGCCTGCTCATCAAAAAGTATTCAGTGTTGATGTAACGGGTTAGGCTGATGGTTAGAAGTCGGTCCAGGGGTCGTATTAAGGAACTTACAGATCGTATTGAAAGAAACTTACTAACAGAAGCGATTATAAAACATAGGGACTCAGATTCTGCCAGTGTCCGTCTACAATGACCAGCACAGTGATTATTCTTCTAGTCATTATCTTGACCAGTTCGTATCACGCGAGATGCATGGTCACCTACCTGGCTTCTGACATGTAAGTACAAACGCATGAAATGTATTTTGTAAAATAAATAACTTTTTATTTAAAATTTTTCTCGCCCTCATAATTTTGGTCTTTAATTTCAAAATGCAAGTTAAAAAAAAAAGATGAATTTTTCCACAAAGTGCAAAATAATTCTTATAGATTGCACAATCTGAACTCCCATTTAAGGATCGTTTGGCCGAAACGTTGACCACCAAATTAATTTTCCCTTAAAACAATTTTAACTATATCTTTATATTTTGTTCACTCTATAGCCTAAATGCTTATTTGAGGCCCGGCATGGCCAGGTGGTTAGGGCGCTCGACTCGCAATCTACGGGTCGCGGGTTCGAATCCCCGTTACACCAAACATGCTCGCCCTTTCAGCTGTGGGGGCGTTATAATGTGACGGTCAAGCCCACTATTCGTTGGTAAAAGAGTAGCCCAAGAGTTGGCGGTGGGTGGTGATGACTAGCTGCCTTCCCTCTAGTTTTACATTGCTAAATTAGGGACGGCTAGCGCAGATAGCCCTCATGTTGCTTTGCGCGAAATTCATAACAGACAAATAAATGCTTATTTGATATTCGTTTTAGTGGTGTACTAAACAGATTTTAAAACGCCAAGTTAAAGCGATAATAATACTATATATATATATATATATACACACGTCATTTATATATGTGTATTTAACGTTGCTCGAATTCTATCGACTTCCGTTAGTCTTTTTCATTTAGTTTCTTGGAAAAACGTGACGGCTTAGATATATAGATTGCAGTTTAATTGGCCTAGGTCAGGGTTGAAGGTCAGCTTTCAAGGTCGGAACTTTTGGAGCATGTGATGTTACAAATCTGCCTATAACGACTCCACAGGTTAATCGAGTGTCTGTATTCTATGTTTTTGTAAGGGGTTGAAGTGTTTAAATTGCTGGAATGCTGAAAAACTTTTGAACTCGTAACACGATACACTAGCGTGTACTTGTTTTAAATAAAGGATTCAGAATGCAGTTCAAAACGTTTTATCTTAGGCAGTAGATATACAAGACTCTTTCTTCAATCCTTCTGACAAATTAACGAATTGGCACGTTTAAGATTTAGTCAAGAGCTCAGAGAAATAGCTGTAAGGAAACCAGACAAAGATTTAGAATTAATACAACCGCTGTTATTATCAACACTTGTGGAATAATATCCTCAACCACGAGTCGTGACAGTTAGGGTTATTCTATTTCATTTACGGTTACATTTAACACAGAGCTTTTATATCGGCTGTTGTTTGACATAGCCCATCCAAAGTGTAATCGTGCATATTTATCATCAGATTACTAATATAATATAGAGATTACAAGAATGGTTGTTGGCACAGTATAATGCGTAATAGTTATGTTTCTGATTAGGCTTAGCGTAGAAACAGAGGTTTCTGGGATTGATGCGATATTTCTGTTGTTTCTGTCCATTCTTCTCTCGTTCCTGTTTAGTCGTTATCTTTTAATTCTGTGTTGTTGTTGGTTGTTTTTTTTAATTATTCTTTACATTAGTGTTTCTTTTGTTAGGAATATGAATATATTGTAGTTTAATCGATAGTCCCCCCCCCCCCCAGTGGCACAGCGGTATGTCTGCGGACTTACGACGCTAGAAACCGGGTTTCGATACCCGTGGTGGGCAGAGCATAGATAGCCCATTGTGTAGCTTTGTGCTTAATTTCAAACAAACAAACAGTTTGAATCTATATGTCAATCGGTAAATGTTTAAGAAGATAAGTTTAAAGACACATTTCGCGTGGCGTATCTTTGTAAATTGATAGTTAATCTTCTATATCTGCGTTGTTACAGACGGTTGCTGTATCTATCAGATTGGCAAGAAAGTTGCAAAAAATAGTAACACGCATATTTTATGCAATTTGAGACTGCCCATATTCACACACATACACTTCAGGTTTAAGTGGCTGTCTGTCTGCTTCCAACTTTGGAGCCAGTTTTTAAACAAAAATATTTGAACTACACTAGTAGCCCGCAGAGAGCCAGACCAAAGATTAAGTAAAACATGATTTCAATATAAAAGTTTAAAAAATTGTTGTAATTCATGACTTGTTGAGTGTCTTCTTTCTAGGGTGTATTTTGTTCATCTTTATTATGATGAATAAGCTGTTGTACAGGTTTACAAGAAACGGACCCGTAAGAAAGCGACAAAAATACGTTCTACCATTGGACAAAGTCAGAAACTCGGAATGATCAAAGTTCAATAGTGATTGTGGTTTTGACGATAGCTCGGACCGATATCTTTAGGACGTCACTGAAAAATTGAGAAATATGTGCGAAAGCAAAATATATATATATATATAAAGTTTCACCTACATATTTTGTTTTGAACTTTCTAAGAAGTTTCACTAATTGTCGGAATAAACTATCAGTTACTAAGCAAACAACAGAGGAATTCTGCTACTGTTACTATCTTAAAATAAGTACATCGAACAGAACAGTTAGAGTATAATCCAAATCTGTAATGAGATTTCTATGACAAGGTAAAAACCATTGTAACAAATTAATGAGAATCACCCTCCAGTTCATTGTTAATTCAATCAGGCACTCGATGATCAGTGTGGTTATATAAAATGCACGAGGTTGATCATTCAGCCTATATTGTGTAGTTGTCACACTTGTTACTTTTACGTGGATTACAACATTTAAAATATATAGTACTTTATACCATGGTTTATGAATGATATATAGTACTTTATACCATGGTTTATGAATGATATATAGTACTGCACCTCATTGGATATCTGGCATACAGACCCTTATGTAAAGTTTGTTGTTTTCTACACATTGGTAAGGCATCCAGATGAGATTGTGAACACCTGATTTAATCAGCCTCAATTCAGGTAGGCTTTGGCTACAGTGAAACAGAATCAACATACAGCAGTTGTCTGCTCATGTTGTCAATGGTGAGTTGCCTTGTCCAGGTTTATAAATGGGTCCAGATTATGTTAACAATACTTTGAGACTCCCGTTCCTAAATTGAAACAGCCTAATATGATTATCAGGCTTACATTCGGCCACTACATCTCCACAAGAATGAAACATCCCAATGTCTTCTCCTAAGTCTACCATGGTTTATGAATCTTATATAGTACTTTATACCATGGTTTATGAATGATATATAGTACTTTATACCATGGTTTATGAATGATATATAGTACTTTATACCATGATTTATGAATGATGGCATCCAGATGAGGTTGTGAACGAATAACCAATGTGTAGATAACAACAGACTTTACATAAGGGTTTGTATGCCAGATATCCAATGAGGTGCGTTCGTTCACAACCTCATCTGGATGCCTTACCAATGTGTAGATAACAACAAACTTCACATAACGGGTCTGAATGCCAGATATCCAATGAGGTGCGCTTCGTTCACAACCTCATCTGGATGCCTTACCAATGTGTAGATAACAACAAACTTCTCAAAGCGGGTTTCTATTCCAGATATCTAATGATGCGCACTTTGCTCACAGTGAGACAAAAAACAAATAAACAAAATCAGCTGGTTTGAAGTAGTGCCAAGATCATCACGTCCAGTGCAACAAATGATAAGTGAAACAATATAGTCAGATAACAGGTTAAGTATTGGAGGATGTACCAACATATACAGGGACTACATCCTAATATCCTTTTTGATGGCATTGCTGATGTAATTAGCTCTGACTTCAGCCCAATTTATGACATGACTCGTCCCCACTGTGTTAAATTGATCGACAAGTTCCTTGAAGGATAGAAAGAGGACTCAGTGACGTGGCCTGGACACATAATGAACTCCAGTCCCATCAAGGATACTCTTACGAAGTAGATTACCTTGTGTCAGATGATTATAAACTACAGATGCTTCGGAAACAGTTAGTTTAGAGATTATAATTATTCTTCAGTGGTTTGTGCATTGTAATATCGTGCTTTAATTAGCTCACCTGAGAGTTTTACAAGCCTCTAATAACATGTTATTAGTTCAGAGAGCTCTATTTTTACATTATTATAAAGAGTTATGGAAAAGTAAATAAACTTCAGATATGGGATTGCTCCCCCTCTATTGTATGAAAATGAGCTGCCCGAGTAGTCATGTGCTGGACGTTCACTGTGTGATAGGTTGTCATGCAACGGTTAGACAGTGTCACACCAGCCTATTGTCTGGAAAAGTACAGGTAGTCATACTATTCCCAGCAGGAGGGTGGTGAATGCACTCAAGGCCTAAGGTACAGAAATGCAACATGAAAAATGTATAGAAGGTTTGGCTGGTGAAGGCTACTCCATGAAACTGTTTCGATATGAGCTGTAATGGAGATTCTGAAGCGAGTACGTGAAACTACTACTCTTGATAATCGTATTGGTCGAAGCAGAAAGTCCATACTCTCCAAGCGAGATGTCGAGTGAACCAGGATATCCATATTCTGTAGTACACGACAATTTAGCAGAGATCTTACCAATGACCTAGCTGTAAGTATAGATATGAATGTTACTTCCAGAATAGTAAGTTACACATTAGCACAGAGATGACTCAATGGATATGTACCTCAAACAGTGCTGCTAAGCAGAGAAAACCAAACTCAAATGACGAAATGGGATGATCAAAGCTGGAGGAGGCTGCTTTTTCCAGATAAACTCA